AATCTATAGATCAATTTGGGAAGAACTTACATCTTGATAATGTTGAATCTTCCATGAATATGAAATATCTCTTCATTTATTTAAACCTTTGATTTTATTCATCAGAATTTTCATCATAGATCTTGTACACATCTGTTAGATTTATACCTAAGTATTTCATTTTGGGGGCTCTAATATAAATGGTATTATGTTTTAAATTTTAAATTCCACTTGTTCCTTGTTGGTATATAGGAAAGCAATTGAATATTGTGTATAAATCATGTATCCTGTAATCTTGCTTTAATTGCTTATTAGTTCGAGGTCACCACCTGTGTTTTCAAAGATATTTTAACTGAGTGTAGAATTGTAAGTTGACAGTGTTTTTCCTTCAGTAATATAAAGATGTTGCTTTGCTCTTGTCTCACTTTACTGTTTCTGACAAGAAATTAGATGTTACCCTTATCTTTGTTCATATGTACATTCTGTGTTTTTTTCCTCTGGTTGCTTTTAAGATTTTCTTATTTCTGGTTTGAATATTTTGATTGTGATGGACTTGGTGTAGTTTTTTGTGTGTTTCTTACATTGAAGATTTGTTGAGCTTCCTTTATTTTTTGGTTTATAGTTTTCATCACATTTGGAAAATTTTTGGCTATTATTTCTTCAAATATCTGTCCCTCCCTCCCTTACCTGACCTTTAGGGACTGTTTACTCATGCATTAGGCTGTTTGAAGTTCCACAGCTCACTGCTGCTCTTTTCAGTTTTTTCTTTAGTTTCTTTTGCTATGTCTTAGAGTTCACTAATCTTTTAGTTGCTGAGTATATTTTACTCTTAACCCCATCAAGTGTATTTTTTTTTTTTTATCTCCAACATTGTATTTTTTACTTTTTTTAGATGTTTAATTTGGGTCTTTCTGTGTTTTCTGTGTCGACTCTTTGAACATATGGAATACAGTTAAATAACTAATCTGATGTCCTGGTCAGCTAATTATAACGTCTCTGTTAGTTCTAGGTTGGTTTTGATTATTCACCTCATAATGATTATTTTCCTCATTATAGGTTGTGTTTTCCTGCTTCTTTGTATGCTTAGTAATTTTTTTATTAAGTACCAGACATCATGAATATTATCTTACTAGGTCTTAGATATTTTTCAATTCTATAAAAAGTATTTTTTAGCTTTTTTCTGGGATGTAGTTATTTGGAAATAGTTTGATCCTTTAGTTATTGCTTCTATGATCTTTTAGGTGGATTCAGAGAAGTGCTCAATCTGAGACTAATCATTCCTCATTAGTGAGGAATGACCATCCTGGGTGTTCTACCTCATGTTCTGTGAAGGAAAAGTATTCCAAGTCAGGCTGGTGGGAACAGGTTTCTGGCCCTGTATGAGTCCTGGTACTTTTCTGTAATCAGTTTGGATTATTTTTTCCTCGGGTCCTGGGTAGTTTCCTCACTTGTATGTGCTTTTCATTGCTCTGCTGACTACTTGAGGGGGACCATCTGCCAGTCTCCAGGGTTCTCTCTCTGTGCTGCTCTCTTCTCTTTGGTACTTTGTCTTGTGAGTTCTAATGCTTTGGTTTTCCACAACTCCAAGCTCCCATCTCCTCACCTCACAGTGTTTTCCAGAGTTGTGCCTGGATTCCCTTTCTCTGCATTGCAGCCGGGAGTTAAGCCAGGGACAGTCATAGTGTTCGTTTCCTTTATTTGCTTTCTCATAAGCAGTCCTTTGTTACCTCATGTCCAGTGTTTAAAGACTTTTGTTTGGGGTTTTTGTTTTTTTCATGTGAGAGGGTAAATCTAGTTCCTTTTTGCTTCAACTTGGGTAGAGGCAGATGTCCCTGCTGTACTTTTAGTTTTTTCATTACACTTCTAATTGTTCTGTCTTAATTTAATTATGTTTCTTGTTAACTTCAGTCCCTTCTTTGTATAATAACAAGCTCTACAATCTAGGATTTGCTCTTAGTAATATTTCTGAGGCTTAGAGCATAAGGAGTCAGTAAATATTTGTTGTCTTAATATTGAATGGGGTACAGAAATAAGATAATATTCTTATTCCTTTTTATGGCATACAGATGGAGAGGAGAGGTGATTTTGTTTAAAAGGGATATTTGGTTAACTGTATGAGTTAAATCTGTAAATCTTTCTTCAGATTTTTCTTAGCAGCTAATGGCATTAACAAAGACATAGCAAAGGCACAGACTTTTAAAAGAAGTGGCTGAATGTATATGATCAGAGATACCATTAATTAAGCACTTAACTATATGCCAAAAATTGTTTCTTATTAGTGTAGTGTAGCATGCAAATTTTCTGGGAAGCATAATAATAAATGACAAGTTTCAAATTCAGCTTCTTAACCATTCACTTATTCACTTACCTAGTAGGCAGGTTGTTAGGTTTTAAAGAAGTAGATTTAAAATGGTGTGCTGGGTAGAGCTCCCTGAGCATAGAGACAGTCTTTTTTCTCCCTCCCTCCCTCCCTTCCTTTCTTTCTTTCTTTCTTTCTTTCTTTCTTTCTTTCTTTCTTTCTTTCTTTCTTTCTTGTATCCTCATTTCATAGCTTTACATGACTTTATAATTGGAGAAGGTAATGAACTAGCCTACCAGACATAAGAGGCATATTATTACATCTAATATTGATGTACTTACAGAGGCAGTATAGATTTAATTTGCTTTGGTGTAGGTAACATGGAGATTTTGTCATGAGAATATGTGAAAACTCCCTGTTTAGTGCTTAGGGCATCTAAGGGCTCTATTGCTGGAGTCCAGCTCCAGCAGGTTCCCGAAGGATGAACGGCGTTGGCGAAAAAGTGAAAATAAAACAAAACAAAAATAAAAGTGGACACAGACAACAGCAGTGTGTTGTTTATGAAAGCAGGCCACTTTATTGTGGCAAACGTGGCATTATATTTGTTAGCAATTTCCTTGTAGCATGCGCCATCTATGTTTTCTAGCATTATCTAATTCTAAAAATGTTCCTATGTGTAATCACCCTTTAAGGAATAACGTGGTTATTTTCTCATAACATTCCCTCCTGCCCTTTGCTTACTGATTAATTTCTTACATTATTTTCATTATGTATCTATGTTTATCTATAATCTATAGAGCATTTGCTTTGCTGTTTTCATGAAAGGTCATCTATCTCTCAACACCTCAAGTGGAACAGTTACAGGACATGACCTCTTAGTTGTTTTCCTGAACCACTTGTGGTTTGAGGAAGAAGTGTTCACCTAGGTCCGAGTGTGAGGAGGAGGCCAAGAGGGCGTTAGGAACCCACACCTTATGCATTCTCAGAGAGACAATGCACCTAGGAACTAATGAACCATTCTGTACTTTAACCGACTAGGTTCACTCATCACCTGGAATGCCTCCTGGGGGCCAAGTGGGCCTAGGGGTTGGAGTATCTTGTGCCCACAGATTCACTCCTTAGTTGCCGGAGTGGGGCTTTTAAATCCATTTATTCCTTCCTTGGCTGGGAAATGTATGGGAAATGTATCCTTCCTTTAGGTAGAGGAGTCTTTATAGGGGGTGGCAAGGGCTAGATGTAGGGCCGCACAGTTTCCTTGCGGAACCTTATTTCCTTCCCCAATGGTTCTTTCCCCAGGGGGCCTGTCGAGGGCAGTTTCCCAACAGACAATTCCCCAGGTACTTTTATTAAGGCCAAATTACATAAAAGCAGGAGTACAAGAAGCTTCACTGTCGGTGGGCCGCCCTGCAGTCCCGATCCGTCCACACCCGGGCCCTGCCGTCAGGCTGGTTGGATAGCTCGGCTTCTGGCACTCTATGAATGTTTTTTCTTTTTCTTCTAATTTCAGAAAAATTGAGTAATAGTGGTCTTTTTTTTTTTTTTTTTTTTTTTGAGAGTAAATAGTACAAATATAGATTGGGAACTAGAAAGAAATATAAAATAACAGTCTGATAATCTTCATTTTAAAATTGTTCATTCATGTATGTAAGCTCCTTATTTATGAGTAGTTAATAACCTCTTAAAATTAAATAAACATTTTGAATATTTAGTGAAAATAATCTATTAACAGTTGATGTCTTTGTAAATCTTTTTTTCCTAGCAAAACAATTAGAAAAGATAAATAATTTGCAACTTACCAGGTTCTCTCACATTAGATCACAACTTTTACACCATACTTAACAGATACGAACATAGCTGACATATTCTACATCTCTGCATGGCTTACTTGAAAAATAGAAGCAGTTGCTTAACTGGATGACTATCAAAACGGTCAATACAGATTGATGGGCTTGAGTGCAGTAGACAGTGGATGTGCAGATGGTGGTGTCTGTACCATTTGACATGAGATGGCTGAGTCTTTAAAATGATTTCAGTGGAATGGCTTTGGTGGTGTTGCAGTAAAGGGCATCCATTCAACTTCAGGTGCTGTGCAGATGGCAAAGCCAAGCTAATATAGAAAAATGAGAAACAAGTGACTATTTAATGTACAGGAATGCATGATCTGCATCACAAATAAATGATGGTATTACATACAGGAAACCTAGCCAGATGGCTGTACATTAAAACACATGACTCCTTGAGAGAATTAAGTACAGGCAATTTGCTTAGATTTTGTGCAGGCCTGCTGCATATTATATTAGGGTAGGGAGATCAGGAGATTAAGTGCTTTATTTATTGAAAGTGTTTAGGTGAAGTTGGCAGTTATTTAAGCATTATCTGGTCTCCATAAGTACTTAAGTTGTGTCTTTGTGGTTAAAAACAAAGTAGGGAGAGTAGTTGGTATTTTAAAATAAAAGGATCTAATGAAGAAGATTGGCTAGCAAACCTGTGGAATTGTCTTTTGCTCCACATTTTTCAGTTTTGTAAGGTTTTCCACTAGGCAAAGCTTAAAAATTGTTTTGGATGAGCATGACAAAAGTATTTCTTTTTCTATATAGGTTTTAATGAGTCCAAATACCAGTGACAAGTAGACATTTTAAAGTGTGAAGAGTTAATATGTTGAGTGCTGTGTTAAATGGGATCATTTTCACTAGTAAAATATTACATTTTTTTTGTTTTTCAGCTTAAAGAAAGTGGTTATTGTACAGGTCATGAACCGGATTCCCTGGAATTCAGCACTGTGGGAGGATGGGTATCTACTCGGGCATCGGGCATGAAAAAGAATATCTATGGCAATATTGAGGACCTGGTAAATTTTTTTCTGGTTATTATGTAATAATTGATTAGTCTATTATTATAAAGTGATTAAAGCCTTTTTTTTAGAGTTGGATGGTAGAGCCCTACCAAAAGTATACCCTTTTTGATTATTGTAAAGTTGACTATGTATAATGGAGGCAGTTAAAAGATAAATGTGGTCATTATTTACGAGTGCTCCTTTTCAAGTGACTGATATTTAAGCTTTGTAGATGCTTCATAGTATCAGTTGTAAAATGTATAAATATTATTTTATAAGCCTCATGGAGCCTCAGTCTTCAGCTACCAAGGTTTTAGTCTATTTAGGTGATCTCATCACTGCTACTCTTTTTGTGCCTTAAGAGAGTTTATACTTAATTTTGTTAAAAATTGTTTTCCGTATACAATTAAAGAGCCTGATTGAAAATGTCCTAGTAGGTGGCAGTATCACCAATAATGGTTTATGTGCACCCCATTTTATTTTAGCTCATCTGGTACCAGTGGTCTTGGAATTAGTGCGATAATAATTTAACTATGGGCATCCTGGCTAGGGATTAGGTATCATTTGTTCCATCTGTAGCTTTCCCAGTGAGTAGTTGTATGATCTTGTGCAAATTGGATCACCTTTCTAAATTTCAGTTTCCTTTTCTGTAAAGTAGAATGACATTCACTGCACAGAATTATTTTATTTTTTATTTTATTTATTTATTTTTTCAACGTTTTTATTTTTTTTATTTTTGGGACAGAGAGAGACACAGCATGAACGGGGGAGGGGCAGAGAGAGAGGGAGACACAGAATCGGAAACAGGCTCCAGGCTCTGAGCCATCAGCCCAGAGCCTGACGTGGGGCTCGAACTCACGGACCGCGAGATTGTGACCTGGCTGAAGTCGGACGCTTAACCGACTGCGCCACCCAGGCGCCCCTGCACAGAATTATTTTAAGTGTGTATTATAAACACTTAAAATGTTTGCACTACCTTATTTTTTTTTAATTGAGGATATTTTAGAAATCACTATTTTTTTTTAGCAAATTCAATTTCAGAGGAGAGAATTTAATCCTTTTGCTATTGGATTGTTAAAAACTTTATCATAGTTAAGCAAACATTTAGTACTGCTAAAGCATGTAATTTATTTTAATCCTTTTTTTGAAAATCCTTAAGATCACAAATTATAAGCACATATCCTAATGTGCTTATTTGCATGTGTATACCTAGCTTTTAAAATAAAAAAGAATGATGCTGTGTTTGATCTAGTCTTTAAACTGTTATCAGCATATTAACTTATAAATGAACATAGATGTACACATCATTTTTAGAATGCATATAATTCTTTTACCAATAATTCATAGTTTATTAAAGTAACTCCCTATTAATGAATGTTTAAATTATTCTTGATTTTTTTTTTTTTTTAATTTTTTTTTTCAACGTTTATTTATTTTTGGGACAGAGAGAGACAGAGCATGAACGGGGGAGGGGCAGAGAGAGAAGGAGACACAGAATGGGAAACAGGCTCCAGGCTCTGAGCCATCAGCCCAGAGGCCGACGCGGGGCTCGAACTCACGGACCGCGAGATCGTGACCTGGCTGAAGTCGGACGCTTAACCGACTGCGCCACCCAGGCGCCCCTATTCTTGATTTTAAAATTGTAGAATATAAAGGGGAAAGTATCCTTTTTAGTAATTTCTTTAGTATACATCTTTTTAATCCCTTTCTTTGGCCAGGTTCCTAGAGCTTGATTTGTTGCATCAAGATGTTTATGTTTTTGTGTCTTTGGGTCTTTATAGCCAAGTTGCTTCATAGAAATTGTTAATCAGCATTCCCACTAGCATTATGAGAATCTTTATTTTACTGGACCTTTTATTTATATTTTTGTCTTTTAATTTTTTACTTATTTAACTGCTTCTGAACGTAAACTTTTAAAGTGTGCTTATTGGTGATTTTTAGTTTTTGTTTTGTGAATTATTGATGTCCTCTGCTCAGTTCCTTAAGTAATAAATAGACTATTTTTGTTTATCTGTCAAAAAGGCATTGCAAAAATGTGTTGGATTTTCACTTAACCATTTCCTGATTTGGATCTCTCAGGAACTATTTTTGAGTGACCCTTCAATATGCTTACTTCTTTAGTGGTGTGAGACCTATACTACACACATATCTCTTTTCTACTCTTTTTTTTTTTTTTAAATGTTTATTTTTGAGAGGGGGAGAGAGAGAGAGAGAGAGAGAGAGAGAGACAGAGCATGAGTGGGGGAGGGGCAGAGAAGGGTGAGACACAGATTCTGAAGCAGGCTCCAGACTCTGAGCTGTCCTCACAGAGCCCCATGCAGGGCTTGAACTCATGAACTGTGAGATCATGACCTGAGCCGAAGTCAGATGGTTATCTGACTGTGCCACCCAAGCACCCCTCTTTTCTTCTCTTTAATTCAATCACATCATCTCCCTCTTCATCCCATTTTTTACCTGATCATAATTAATATTTCATTCTTTTCACTCTTTTCTACTAAGTGGGCAAAGCAAATAAGTTGTGGGTGGGAATAAGGCAAGAATAAATTTTTTCTTAGAATTCTAAGCATCTGGATCAGTGCTTGATGTGAATAATAGTGCTTCATAAATATTGTTAAACAAGTGAAGGAATGAACCTGTTAAAATATGACCATTGCTTATTTTTTTTCATCCTTTAGTTCTTTAAACCAAACTAAATTTGGTTTAAAGAAAAGTGCTTTTCGGGGCGCCTGGGTGGCTTGGTCGGTTAACCGTTCGACTTCGGCTCAGGTCATGATCTCACGGTCCGTGAGTTAGAGCCCCGCGTTGGGCTCTGTGCTGACGGCTTAGAGCCTGGAGCCTGTTTCCGATTCTGTGTCTCCCTCTCTCTCTGCCCCTCCCCTGTTCATGCTCTGTCTCTGTCTCAAAAATAAATAAACGTTAAAAAAAAAATTTTTTTTTAAATTAAAAAAAAAAAAGTGCTTTTCATTTTTTAAGATGATGAATATACCCAAACCATTAATATTACTAGAATGATTTCCCCCCCTTTTAAAGTTATATAAAACTTATTTTTAGTCTAAGAATTATTAGAAGGTACTAGAATTCTGAAGGGTGTCATCATTTATCACTTAATCCAATGTTTTTAAAAGTAGAGTTTTTTTTAAATATATATGGACGTGTGTATACACACACACACCATTCACTGACAAATATGTAGAATTTATATCGTGCATTGTATTAAACAGGTGGTTCATATAAAAATGGTAACACCTAGAGGTATAATAGAAAAAAGCTGTCAAGGACCTCGTATGTCAACAGGCCCTGATATCCATCACTTCATCATGGGATCTGAAGGTAAATATAACTAAATTTATTATGAAAAAATAGAGGTTAGTGACTAGTTTTGTGAAAATCTGTGATATTGTGATATAAGATCTTTGAAAGAAAGGCATGTTTTATGTATTTAAAGGTGATTTTTTTTTTTAGTTTTATTACTTTAATTTAGTACTTCATAGTAGTTTTTATTATGAGAACATCTTATTAAACATCCTTTTACATTTTGGTTGTTTATAGTTTTAGAGATAACTTAGTCTTTTTGGTATTTTGTTTTTATTTTAGACGTTTCAGTCCATGATTTTAGGAAGAGTAGCTGTTAAGATTTAAAATGTTTGCTTTAAAATTTTATATTATTCTCTATTCTTGTCTGAATTATCAGGAGGGAAGGGACTGAGAAAGTATTGTGTTAGTATCTTGTCTTTCTGTAGTTGTATCTTTTGTTACTTGCTATTTGATTCTTTGAAGAAGTGGAATTTAAAATTCTGTTGATTTACATATCTTTTAAAACTTGTTTTTTTTTGTTTGTTTTTTTTTTACTACTTAACTAGTATTCTTTGCTTGGTTACTTAATGCTGGGTGAACTAGAATGTAGTTCTTTATCTTATACAAAACACTTCATTCCTGTACTGATCAGGAAGAAACTAACCTTCCTTCTATATTGCAAACTAACTGTTATGTGGTGAATTTTATGGATAAGATGAACATAGTCTTTATTTTTCAATTTGTAGAATGGTAGAGAGGGATATCCCTTAAATTCAGAGAAATAAGATAAAACTAGTATTTCTAAATTAATGGAAGAACTCATTACTAATTTAGAAGGTGGTACAAGCTAAAAAAGAGATAGACTTTCAAAACATTTAGCTTATTCATGGATACGAGAGCAATTATAATAAACTAAGGTGAAAGGGCATAAATTTCATCTTTTGATAGTAATATCAAGGAGGGAAAAAATTAAACTGTCTCAGTGACATGGTAGAGGTCACCATTGATTTGATGACCAGTGGTACAGCTTAGATATTTTTTCATAATAATCAATGATAAACCTTTGTCAAGATGTCTCAACAGTTTACTCTCATTCCTTTTCTGATAAGTATACTCTTCTATGAAACAATAGAACTACGTTTTTAATAAAAAATGTTAAATTCTCTTAAAATAATATAATTCTTTGATAAATATTCTATAACTTTTCATACTAACACATCTAAAATTTAACTAAAATATGTAACTTTTTGCTATCAGGTGTCAAATTGAATAACAAATAGGTATTAAAACTGATAGGTATTTTTAAAAATATATTTTGTATAATTTTTTTGTTTAATTTTATTTTTGAGAGAGAGTGAGCTAGAGTGAGCAGGGAGGGACAGAGAAAGAGGGAGAGAGAGAATCCCAAGCGCTGACAGCACAGAGCCCGATGCAGGACTCTATCCCACGAACCATGAGATCATGGTTATGATCTTAACCGACTGAGCCATCCAGGCACCAAAAGTGATTGTTATTAATTATACTGTTGATGCAATTGGAGTCAACTTTATACATATATATTATCTTTTCAGGTAACCATATCAAACATTTTGTTTTTCTTCCATCACTTAGTATTTTAAAAATTTTGGTTGCTAGGTATTATGCTGGCACACTAAAGGACACAGGTAATAATTGACCTTTATTATACAGTATGATAAATTGTGTGATAGAAGTAAATATAGGAGAAATATAGACAAAGTTTGCATTGATGGATGCTTAAGAAGACTTCTCCAGAGGGGCCTTACCTAAAGCGGTCCTTGAAGGTTGATAAGGAGTTGGGGGAATAAGGTGGGGAGGGAGTTGCCTACAGAGAGAACTGCATGGCAGACTTAAAAGTGAGAACAAGCTATGTCTGCCTTGTGAAGCTGTGAATTTTTCAATATAACTGGAACATAAGATCCAACTGTAGGGTGGAGTAGGCAGCAGGTCTAGGGGTAGAGTGGTAAGGATTATAGGGTGGCTGGAGAGATAATTTGGTCTTTCATGCCTTTTAAAATAGTTTAAACTGGATCTAAAAGACTGGACTACCTCTCTCAATAGTAAATTATCATATGAATTTAAGGAAGGTAAACTAATAATAAAGTAAGATAAGAAATATGATTTATTAGGGGCGCCTGGGTGGCACAGTCGGTTAAGCGTCCGACTTCAACCAGGTCACGATCTCACGGTCTGTGAGTTCGAGCCCCGCGTCGGGCCCTGGGCTGATGGCTCAGAGCCTGGAGCCTGTTTCCGATTCTGTGTCTCCCTCTCTCTCTCTGCCCCTCGCCCGTTCATGCTCTGTCTCTCTCTGTCCCAAAAATAAATAAACGTTGAAAAAAAAAAATATGATTTATTAAACATATATGCTAGGGTAAATTACTGTATTTAAATGAGATCTTATTATAAATATACATGTAAAATGCCACACTGATCTAAAAGCATAACATGAAATCTTTCAGATCTGGATTTCAGTCCTGGTTCCACCACTTACATTTCGTTGACTTTGTGTCAGTTAGGTAATTCTTTATGCTAGTGTCCTCAGCTATAAAATGGGGATAATAAAAGAATCCATCTTCATAAGCTTTTTGTGAGGATTAAATGAGATTATGATAAGCAGTCTATAAGCATTTAGTAAGTTAAATTTATTACTATTGTTATTGCTGTGTATTACTTTGGCATCAGTGATCTTTCCAATGTGTTTATAGTCCCTAATCTCCATCTCTGTTTGTATGTGGATATAGAGTCATCTTAATATAGGCCAGGAGACAGCATGATTGGGAAAGTAAATTTATGCGAAATCATTTTTTTTAAGTTTTATTTATTTATTTATTTTTGAATTTTATCTTTTTAATCTTTTTATTTAAATTCCAGTTAGTTAACATACAGTATAACATTAGTTTCAGGTGTACAATATAGTGATTCAACACTTCTTTGTATCACCCCGTGCTCATCACAAGTTCATATTCTTTTATAATATGTATTTTCATCTACTATTTTGAACTATCTAAATAATAACCTGCTGCCTTAAGCGTGTCATAAGTTTTTCCTCAAGCTTTAGAAACATTTTTTCTTGCTACGGTTAAATCATGTGATGACAGCCTTGAAAGTATTATCGTTCAAAAATGTATTTTCCTCATCCTACTAAGTTGTACATGTGACTAACCATGTTAAATTTAACGTTTTTGTCTTGTTTTGAGTTACGAATTTTTCATAATGATTTTTTTCAACAAGCAGCTTCTTCCCATTTTAGATGCTAGAATGTGATCAATATAATGAAAATTATAATAAATAGTCAAAGCATCTGAAGTGCTTTGCATTTTTTTTCTGGTGTATGGAATTTACTAGTAACTTCAAATAGCTTGCTCTTTTATTTGGAAAATGGTTAAAAGTACATTTGTATTTTTTAACCCATGACGCACCCTTGTTTTAGCCTTTGCTCTGTGTTGAAATAAGTAAAATGCTTACTATCAGTCCTTTTATGTAATTTTACTAGTCACCTTTTGGTTAAATAAAGCTAACCCTTTACTAGATTCCTCCAGAAGGGCACATTGTGTATCTCGTGAGTTCTAGAATGTTTTAAACTGTTTTCCTCTGACCTGGATACCAGCAGGACAGCTTGGGTGGATATAACATCCATGGGTTGCACTTTCTTTCCTTGTTTCTTAAAAATGCTGCTCCAGTGTTGCCTGGTTTTATATGTTGTTTTAAAGAAATCTAATGCTAGCTCTTTTGCCTTGTAGCTTCTTTCCTTTTTTTTTTTTTTTTTTTTTTCCTGGGTGTCCTGAGGATTTTTTTCTTTATTATTGAAGTTTACTACTTTTATAGATCAGAGTTGATTGTCCTAGGTTGTTTCGCGTGGTACCCATTGGACCCTTTCTGTGTTTATATTTAGGTCTTCTTCTATTTTGGAAAGGTTTTTTTTTATATTATAGTGTCAATGATTAGGGGTTTTCTCCCAGTGTTTTGATTTTTCTTCTTTAGGGCTATAAGTTCTATTTCAGCCCCTATTTCTCTGACCTTTTTTTTCAACTTTTTATTTCATTTTCTTTCTATTGGTTATTTTCTTGCTTTTCTTCAATGCCCTTTATTAAGTTTTCATTTGAATCTATTCTTTGTTCTCCTTTGAATATCTTATAACTTAGCCTTCATTTTTTATATGTTTTGTTGCTGTTGTTGCTGCTATTCTATTTCTTCCCTGAGATCGGTCATCTCTTGTTTCATTGCTTCTTGCTTTTTGTCCATTTATGTTTTTAGTGTTTGTGTTTTTTTAAGTATATTATTTTGAGAGAGAGAGCATGCATGTGCACGAGCAGGGGAGGGACAGAGACAGGGAGAGAGAGAATCTCAAACAGGCTCTGCATCCTCAATGCAGAGCCCAACATGGGGCTTGATCTCATGAACTTTAGATCAAGTCCTGAGCCGAAATCAAGAGTTGGATACTTAACTGACTGAGCCATGTAGGCGCCACTTTAATGTTGTATTTCTGATTCAAGTATTGTTTTTAATATCCCCAAATGCTTGCTTGACAATACTTAATTCAGTTTGAAATGTTGTTTGACATTTTTTTTTTCTTCAGGATCGTGGTTGGTTTAGGGGAGAGACTTTTTATTAGCAGAAAAGCTTTTATTTATATTTTCTGACTTACTGCAGTAGTTTTTGTGGATTTGGTGTGCTTTTTTTCTGTTGCTATTTATTACTTAGAAAGGGTTCCTAGTTTGGAAATGTCCTTTTCTGTCACTCTTCCTCTCTTTTGTGCTACTTGTTTTTGGATGGTGGTATTGTTGGTGGGAGAAGGCATGATGGCACGTCTTCTTTCTCTCTTATTTCTTTAGGATCTTTAATTTTTTCTATTATACTTTCCCTTCATTACCTTTTCTCCAAGGAATACCACACTTCTCTGAATATCATGCTCCCCTTGCTTCTCTAAGGCTGCCATTTCTGGTTCCTCCCATTTTCAATCCCCTCTCCACAGCCAGGGCCTGTATAGCATTTTGTCATTATTGTTGCACTTTTGCTTT